ATGCTTTCAGAACTTGGGTCTCTATCTTTGTCTGTTTTTTGCTCTTTCTTTGGATTTAGTGCAATTCTGGTCGCCACACTGTAGGAGAGATATGGAAGCTTAGGAGAGGGTGTAAAAGAGGTTTACTGGGATGTTGAGATAACAAAGTATGGAGCTGGAGGAATACAGCAGGCCAGGCAGCATCAGAGGATGTTACTAGGATGTTGCCTGGATTGGAGTATATCAATTATAAGGAACAGTTGGACAAACTAGGATTGTTTTTGCCAGAATGTTGGAGGCTGAGGGGCGATCTGATAGAAGTATATAAGATTGAGAGGCATGGATAGGTTGGAAAGTTGAAGTCTTTTTCCAGGTGGAAATTTTCAAATACTGTAGGCATAGGCTTAAGGTGACAGAGGGAAAGTTTTGAGGTAACGTGCGAGGCAAGACTTTTACACAGTGGTAGGTGCCTGGAATGTGCTACCAGAGGAGGTGGTAGAAGCTGATCTGATTGCAATATTTAAGAGGCATTTAGACAGACACATGAACGGGCAGGGAAAAGAAGGATACGGACCATGTATGGGCAGATGGAATTAGTTTAGAAAGGCATTATGATCCATTCAGACATGGAGGGCCAAAGGTCCTCTTCCTGTGCTGTACTGTGTTCTATTCCTTGTCAGTAAAAGGCCAGTACAGCATCTATTCTCTACTGCATAGAATTCCCTCACTTACCAAATCCGGTTTTAAAACCACTATCAAACTAACATCTGTGCCGTTTAGTCCACACATTAATAAAAGTCCTCTGTGTATATACTGGCTTGTCAGCCCCTGTTAACCTAGAAGTTAGAACTAACTAGTCCCTTACGGCAGCTTCTAGAAGCCAGCTTGTTCACCACTTGTAAAATTCTACACAGCAAGATCATTAAAAACAACAACTTGTAAAATAGCCATACTGGTTTTGAGGCAGAAATGTTGTTCAGGACTATTTTCTTGTTTTTTTCAAATATTTTCTTATGATATTTGACAACTGGTGAGGAGAAAACACAACATTATATTGCTGTCTCTTCCAAAAGACAGCACATCTGACAAAATTAATCTCGCTCACAATGCACTGCTGTGTCAGTTTATGTGCTTGTCTGGAGTAGAGCTTGAATCAATAACACCCTGATATAGAGGTAGCACTTGAGCCAGGCCAGATACTGAACTGGTCAGAGAAGACTGTATTTAGATATAAATAAATCTTTTCGTTCTTGTGCAATAAACATTGTGGAGCTAGGAAAGTTAAAAAATATTAATATGAACATCAGAATGTTGTTGGATTGAATGTGGAAATGGAGAATTGGACCTAATTGATGTTTGTCCTGACTGCAAGGCATTAACTTTCCCTTGGGCCTTTTTCCAGTAATGTCTCTGAGAACCACTAAATGATGGATGTGCAGCCACTTGCATATAATGCATCATAGAAAACCAATGCTGTTTACAAGTAGGTCATCCACTTGGAAGCACAGCAGACTGTAAAGGTGGGACACAACAATGATCAACACAAAAAAGCTATTGAGGAAATACACATAAATTGCCAAAGACGACGTTTCTCATATTTGTAGTTACTAGCCTAGTAAAAGTAAACAAATATTTCATTTAAGGAAAGGTTTTTGTACCCTGCTGAGAACAAACTTTAAATTGTATAGTTTAACTTAATCCCTAGTAATGATGCACTGACTACAACGTATTATTTTTAGAATAATAGACACTCTAAAGATAACCATTTGTTTTCCTTCAACCTTGTGTGAACTGGAAACTGTGGAGGTATTTGCATATTTTAAGATATGTAAAGTAAATAGATTTTATTTTATTTATTCTTTAATGTGATGTGGGCATTACTGGCAAGGCCTGCATTTGTTCCTTATTCCTAATTGCCCTTGATCTGAGAGACTTGCTCATTTCAGAGGGCAGTTGAGAGTCAATCACATTGCTGAGAACTTGAGTTCACAAAGACCAGATAAGAATGGCAGAATTCTATCTCTGAAAGTCATTAGTAAACTTTTACGATGATCAATGATCAAAGTCACCATCAAATTATATTTATGTGAGTACATAGAATATGTTGTGTGATAAATATGTCACTTTGTGAGTCTAAGTATAACTCACTTCTTCATTAGTAAGTTAGGCAATTGCTCAGTATCTTGCAGAACATTTTTTTCATAAAAACCCTGATTAAAAGAGAACTTTAATTTCTAAAAATTGATAGTAATCCCAGAGTTGGTCACTTTTTGATTTGATGCTCACTGTTGTAATATTTATACTACACTAGATACAGATAAATTGAATGGCAGATGACATATATTAGTGAACAAAGAATTCAGTGAGGTGCTTGAAAAGTAAAATATTATTGAAATATAACCCCAGCTATTGTATATTAATTCTAGTTACAGTAGACTAAAAAATAATTTACTTAAAAGACAAAGTCTAAGAATATTTTTGTCCTTGTGATTAGAACAGCAGATAAAATGGTAATAGCGTTAATTTTAAATCTGAGATGATATTCTTGTTAAGTGAAGGTATTTGGAGTTGGGCTATAGATCAGCCATGATCTCACTGAGTGGTGGAACAGGCTTGAGGGGCTGAATGGCCTACTCCTGCTCCTATGTTTCTACATCCTTTAGCAGTCAAGCTGGGTTTACAACATGCAAGGTAGATGCATAAAATAAGTAGCAAATCAGCGGTGAAATGTCTTGACTACTGGTACTTTGCAAGATACCATTAGTTTTGCTCTTGTGATAATGTAGTAGTAAGTGTAATGTGGTGTGATACTAAGATGGACCAACAAAGAAAGCCCCATGGTAATTTCGTTTCTTGAGTAATCTGATTTCAGTTAGTGGTTGGGAACAATAAAGAAGAAAGTGACAAATAGAAAGAATTGCTAAAAATGTTGACCTCAATGAGCAAAAATTGAATTTTACTTTGGTTGGCTAGAGGCAAGAGGTCTGATCCTGACTGAGAAACTATAATCTAAGGGGGTTTTCAGTCGATCAGATGGCAGGCGGCTCTCGTGTCCCAACAGCACAATCGGGAGCAGTGGCCATTGCTGGTGCTGCAGCGAGGCCAAGAGGAAAGAATTCAAAATTGGAACTGAGGTGTATGTTGAAACTGTGGTCTCATTAGGACCAGGATGGCTCACATTTCCAAACAGATGGGCAGAGGATGCACAGCAGCACGATTGGAAAAGTAACTGGGGAAACAGAGGGGAATGGTTCAACATTGCGGGGAGGTGGTTGGGCACCAAAGAAGAACTCCCTTGTACCGTGGCTATGCAATTCCCAAGTTCACTAATCTAAGCCTTCTCCAACCCCACCAAATTTTCATCTCCCAGCAACATGGGTGGTCAAGATTTATCCCTCCCTAGCCAGGTCCGAGGCAGTGTTGGAGGAGTGTAGGAATGGGTGTAGAGGTGGGATCATATGAAAAGCCTGCCTCAGTTTTCTTATTAGTTAATCTTGTTCATACTAGGCAGCATTATCAATCTATGAATTAGCCCATTAATATGCCTCAAAATGCCGTTTACAATGTTGACCTTGTGTAGGAAATTGCCTTGTTCCGAGACAGTTGAATTAATAATCGAGTAGATTTTCTCTATGCATGCCCATTGGATACTCAACTAGCAACAGCACCTCGGGACCTTTGGGAAACAGGATCACATAATGTTCATAATTCAGGCCATTACATTAGCTCATGTACACTCCAGGCACAGGAACTGAAAACTGGAAAATAAACTGGAGCTCAGTTATAAACCTCTGCTGTAGTCTGTGCTGTCAACACTCAGTCTTCTGGCTACTGGAATCTTCAGTGGAGGTAGACATGGAAAATTCAGACAGGATCTCTCCCTTCCCACACAGTAGCATGGGAGGGCTCGACCTTGACCTAGTATAAACATCGATTGTTTTCAGTTGGAAGCAGTGCATGAAATATCATAAACTACAGAGACTTGTTATAACATTTTGCAAAGCCCTTCTCTTCTCTGCTGCATATGAAGAGTGTTTATTTTCCAGGTCTGAGAAAAGAAAAATCCATTCACATTTAATTCCCGTTTAATAACTATTATTATTTGCATCGTATGTATCCTAGTCGTGTAATAGAATATGTTTGCAATAAATTACATTAATTTTGATACAGCAATTTTCTTGAAATTTTGAAGCTCACTTTTTGGCTCAAGATTAGTTATGCTGTATGTCCCTTTACACAGTTACTGTTAACTACTCTTTACGGGTATGCGCATGGTCAGAAAAATCAGTTCAATTTTACAATATTGAGACAAAGATACATTTTGTCTCAATATTAACATGTTCACGTAATTAATTAGTTTAAAAGCAGTATCAACTGCGTCCTCTAGATGTCTCAGAATTTAGATGTTTGACAATGCAATGTTTATGCTGGAATGGGATACAGAAAGCAAACTTCAAAGCTGCAGTAGCCAATTTTATATTACCCAGGAGAATATGTAGAGATGCTAGTGCTGTATCAATGTATAAATGTGATGCCCTGAGAATGGCCATAAAAGACTATTTCAGTAAATATTATCATCAAGAATTATCAGATAATAGAAGAAATAAATTGTGGGTGCAATTGTACATACTTTTCCATAGGTCATTAGATTCAATGAATTGTGCCTTTATCTTGGAACTTAAAGAAGTAAAGTTGTAGAAACTAGAATTCATGGAGAGAGAGAGTAAAATATTCTGAGAGCGTTGGAAGACAATTTGGGGAGAATGTGGTGTGACAGTCTGGAGGTGACTGGGTGGCAGGAAGAGATTCTTCAGCAAAACTGACTGGTTGGGGTGCTTTTGATCTGTTTCAAAGAAGTCTTCCCGCTATGACCTTTGAGAGACTGGTTTTCAAAAACTTAGAATCAGACAATGGTTACAACAAAGAAAGAGACCATTCAATGTGTATGTCATGTGCTGGTCCTCTAAAATGTCAGTTCATCTATCTTTTTCCTATGACCCTGAATTTCTTTTCCTTTTCAGATTTTGATCAAATTCCTCTCCGAAAGCCTCAATTGACACTGCCTCCACAACACTCAGACAAGGTATTGCTGGTCACATTCGCCAGCTCCATGCTAAGGTTATGTCTCGTGTCTCCCATTGCTTCCACCACTGACTGGAAAACTGGGGTCATTTCTATGGACACAGTGGAGGTGTTCCACAAAGTAGTTACCCAGTCAGCAGTTCATCTTGCTAATGTAGCTGAAACCACATAACGAGCAGCGCATACAGGTGATTAGATTTTAAGAAGTGCTGGATCAAGGAACTTTTGTGAAGGCAAACTGACTGACCAGCAGTTGGAGGTGCAATAGATGCTAACATTTTGCTGATTCAAATCAAATTTCAAGTAAAGCCCTGGGCTGTGTACTCTAGGTATACCCAAAAATGGTCTGTAACCATTTTTTTTACCCAAACTCCCTCTTCTACACTAGTTGTGAATTCCATGATCTTTCATTTGCTGTTTAATTTGCAGCTGCCAAACACCTATTGCTGCATAGAGTCAGCAGCATTTTACCATTGTAATTTCTTTGCTCTGAGCAGCCATTTACCTCTGTTTACAAGTTTATATAAAGCAAAGTCTTCCTAATTCAATGTATTCACCTGAAAATCCTAATACTGTCTCAACAAACAAGAAAGGTCTTATTGCTTCAGTGTTAGATTCCTAACTAGGGTGATGTATTCCTAACTATGATATCAGGAGTACGATAACCCATTCTGCATTCCATCAGTAAGTTGGGAGCTTTCACAAGAGTAAGTAATTCAGAAAAGTTTCTTTTGCAATTATTTTAGCCTGGGTGTAAAGGCAAAACATGAGAAGAATTAAAATTTTTTTATTAAAATGGAGGGAATGGAGCATTTAAAATTTCAGTATTTCCCAGCCCCTAACGTATTCCATCTGACATGACCTACATACTTCTGTGCACTGCTTTGTAGGAAATTTGTAGATGACACACTGAATGAGAAGTAATTCAAATTAGGTCCATATAATCCATGTAAACTTCAGTTCAATAATTCATTATTTTCTTTCTGGAAAAAGATATGAAAATGAAAGTACCTGTTCAAAGTAAGCTTATTTTCCTTTCCATAAGACCATGAGATTATAAGAAATAGGAACAGGAGTAGGCTGTTTGGCCCCTTGAGCTTGCTGTGCCATTCAATAGGATCATGACACATCATTCCTCATGTCCACTTTCCTATGTTTGTCTGTAACCCTTGATTCCCTTATTGATTGAGAATCTATCTATCTCAGCATTAAATATATACAAGGACTGTATGTCCACAGCTCTCTTGGCAAGGAGTTCTAAAGCCTCTCAACCTTCTGAGAAGAAATTTCTCCTCATCTCAGTCTTAAGTGGGCATCCCTTCATTCTGAGGCTATGGATAAAGGAATGTTAGCCTGCACTCTGGAATACTAATCCTGCAGAAGTACCATTGCACCATCTTCCTGAGGACAAATACCATTCATTTTACATACAGGCTGAACCACTACTTAAATGAGTTGGAATGCACAGAAACAAGAACAGGCTTATCAGGCAGAAGATCTGTGTTGTGAGATCTGATGAATGAAACGTATCCCTTGCTATATGTAATGTCTGAAACTAGGTCATTTTGATCCATGAGATTCAAATTGGTTCTAAGTTGATGGCAAATTGTTTGACTCTAAATATATATGTGCAATGGTTTATTCTGTTCACGATGGCAAACAAGTCAGCAGAAGTGATGTCCTCTACAGTTTCTTTTGACCTTCCAGTGATTGTGAAAATAAACGTTGAATAGTGAAGGGAGGGGTAACACTGAGACACAGTCCTACACATACTGGCAATCTGACTGAGGAATTTCTCAAGGGTTGCAAACTAAATCTGAATCTTTAAGAAATAGTGGAGCCATTTTTATTCAATTGATATTTATATTAATTCATTAGGACCAAAAAAAGGGGTAAGGGCAGCTACATCAATTAAATTAATGTAAAAATATAAATATAAATATAAATTCAGGTTTCTTTGGAGATTCTAGGTCATTTGGATACTCATTTTCATACTTTGGCAATTGTTTTGGCATCTTTCATTATTCTAGTAAGATGTCTTTTCCTCTGGTATCTCTATATGCGACATGTAATATTAGTCAATGCAAATTCAGTGATCATATTTTAAGTACAGAATTAGTTATATCAGGTATATTTGTAAGAAAAGCACATTGGAAAACATTAATTTGAAATTGCTAAACAAAATACCCGTAACAATCAGTAGCAACATAGGGTGACTCATATAGCGTCTGCGTGATGTAGGCAATGGTAAGTTGTATGGCAGAATCAGATAAGTCTGGCGAGACCATCTCAGTATCAAGATCACCCTGCTCCATCTCTTATACTTATTCACATGTGGTGTGGTGAGATTCTCAAAAGGCAGCAGCATGTTGCCAATTGTAGATACCAAGTGTAAGGTCACACTTATACTTCAGCATGTGCAGACAGCAGTCTTCCTTCCTGAACCCCAGCAAGGAACAACATGCGAGACATCTATACTTCAATCACATTGTCCACACTGAAGTAAGTCACCTGCAGCCACAAGTGCAGGTTCAGAGCAGGACATGGTTGACATTGGAGTGAATGTGAAGGTGACCATGGCAATGATGATTCTTGCGATAGTGTCCTCAGTCCAATTATCTTTAGCTGCTTAATTAGTGATCATCCATCCATTATCAGACTGTGAAATATACTATATAAGTGCAAATCTTTCTTTGCCTATGCAGTATTAGATGCAGAATGGTGATGGAAGTATGCAGATTTTCAATGGAGAAGACACTCCATCAGGGGACACTCTCAGATAGCTTTGAGTTTAGAAGTGCTGGCTGCATGTGGGGTGCCAAGTCTGAGGTAGACAGCAGCATGGGTATAGGTACTGGCAGTGTGGCAGCTATGGGAAAACAAAGTTGCTATCCTGAGAGAAAACAGGCAGTTTGTGCTCAAAAGAGCCAATGACACTTCCCTGAAGCTATACCACAGCAATGCTAATAATCTGTTGGAATGCAGGTTGCTCTCGTGCTATGAAACCCTTTTAGCACTGTGGAAACATAATGTCCACAGTCTGACCCTTTCATGAGAGCAGTTTGAGCTCCCATGCAGCACTCCAAGCTGCATTTCATGGAGTTGTGTTACTGCCTTGCACTCCCATGTTCACCAACCTACACCAACTCTTAGTTGTATGGTACCTCAATTTTAAAATTCCTCATCCTTGCTTTTAAATGGTCTCACTCCTCCCTATTTCTGTCATAATCTCCAGGCCTACAAAATTCCAAAATATGTGCACATCTCTAATTCAGGCTTGTTGGGAATATCTAATTTTAATTGCTTAACATCTAAACCCTAAACTCTGGAATTCCATTCCTAAACCTAATCCCAACCACAGCACCACTACCCCTCTACTCCTACCCCATTTCCATTTCCATTCCCATTCCCAACCCCGAAACAATTTTACTCCTTTAAGGCACTCCTTAAAGAAGACCAAACTCTTGATTAACTGCCCTAACATTTCTTTATGTAGGCCAGTGTCATAATTTGTTTTATAATACCTCTGTGAAGCACATTGGGCTGTTGTTTTATATTAAAGGCTTGAAAGTTATATAAATACCAACTGCTGATGTTGCAGCTAATCCTGAAATGGAAGCTGCAACATCAGCTATTAGAAGCTGCACCATTATTAGCTTTACAACTTTGTGAGTGGAAGCGGCCATTGCTTCAATACTCTTCACAAAACCCTTCACCAAGTTGGTGCTGGACTCTCTTCTGCTCCTTCTCATTGACTGTAGAAATTTTGTCGGTAAGTTTCTCAACATACCATAACCCTGCTTGTGGGTGTGGTAGGGCATTTGAATTTTTGGCAAGCATCCTGATTGATACAATTTTTTGGTTGGTGAGTGTTGGCTAATTGAGTAGTACTTGAGATTAATGATACAACTGGTAAGATAAAACACATGAAGATACATCAATAACTGATCACTGGTGAGAGGTCATTGAACTTCATGTGGCACTGCATTTAGGACTTTATTGCTAATATTGACCAGCTGTCTACTGCTGTTGTCCTTTCCTTGCATGTCTGGAAAGCTGACTGCCCCTCTTCAAACATAGAATATCCCACCTTCTTTACAACACCAAGGCCTCCAGTGAAATTTCCAAAAATCTTGGAACCTGCTCCTCAATGTTGGCTCTCCCTCACTTTTTCACTGTTTCACTGTTTGACACAAGTCAAAAGCACTTCCTGCCAGCACTTGATCCAACCACAATGCATGATCCTTTAAGAGTTGTAGACCAGTGTTAAGCAGTAAATTAATAATATGGTCCTGGGATATTACAATTTTTGATATGGGCAACCAGAAGAAATGGTTACCATTAGCTTAAAAAGAATTTAAAACAACTGAAAATCCCCTCCACAATGATACTTGACTCTTTCCCTTAAGTGGAACCTTCATTTCTTCAGATATCAGTCCAAAATTATTCATAGCTTCCATTATTTCTCCTTTTCTAACCAGATAACTTCAAACTTCTGAATGGACTTTCACGGTGAGGGTCACCCAATAGCTTCCTCCTCCTGGCCAAATGTAGGCAAACCTACATATCTCTTTAAAATTTTATTCCTTTTATTCACTCATGGGATGTAGACCTGTTGGCAAAATTACCATTTATTGCTTATCCCTAATTGCACTGAGGCAGGTACTTATGAGCTACCTCCTTGAACTGCTGCTATCCATTTGTTGTTGGTACACCCAAAGTGATGTTAGGAAAATTTTCCAGGATTTTGATTCAACAATACTAAATGAATGGTGATATGGTTCTTAGTCAAGACAGTGTGTGGTTTCAAGAGAACTTTCAAGTGTTGTTCCCATGATTCTGGTGCCCTTGTCCTTCTAGATGATAATGGTTGTGGCTTTTGAAGGTGTGATCAGAGGAGGCTTGGTGAGTTATAGCAATGCATCTGGTAGATGGTACACACTGTTGCCACTGTGCATCTGAGGCGAAGAGACTGGATGTTGAAGGTAGTGCATGGAGTGCAAATTAAATGGGCTGATCTGGCCTGAATGGTGTTGAGATCATTGAGTGTTGTTACAGCTGTGCTCATCCAAGCAAGTAGAGAGTTTACCATCACACTGCTGCCGTGTGTTTTATAGTTATTTGCTGCAGGATTCTGCCTAGCGTCTAACCTGCTTGTATAGATGTAGTATTGTATATGGCTGGTCCAGCTCAGTTTTTGTCAATAGCAACCCTCAATGTTGACAGTGGAGGATTTAGTGATGGTAATGCTGTTAAATATCAAGAGGAGCTGGTTAGATCCTTGCTTACTGAATATAGTCATTCCCTGGCACTTTTGTGGTGTGAATGTTATTTCCCATTTAGCAGTGCATGCTGGAATGTTACCAAGGTCTTGCTGCAGCACATGAGGAGTAATGAATGATGCTGAACAGTGTACAATCATCAGGAGTTATACCTTCTTCCCTGTAAATCAAGCTGGGCCTCACTGTCTCCAGAATAAGCTAGAAACCCAGGATTTTGACAAGCAAGATTCCAAATGGGTCATATGACTGACTTCACTACTCCAGTCCAAAAAGATGACAATCTTCTAAACTTTGTATCTACAAGAACAAATCTCTAGTATCACTGAAAATAAACACATTTTGACAAGTTATGTACATTACATTTGTTTCAACTTGGCAAAATTAGTGGCAGCCATTCTCAGGTTAATTTCTCAGGGCAACACCTAGACTGATCAGAATCAACCACATTAACCCCAGGACCACCTGATCATCCTGTACCCAAGCTGGCACCAATACCACCTCATGTTGTCATTAGACCCAAAACATTGCTCTGATTTCTCTCCATTACATATAGTCATATGTCTCCCTCCCACACAACCTGACCTGATGTGAAACGTCATGACTCCCATACAACTATACCCACTACCAGTGCCCGCATGCAATAACCAATAAAAACTAATTGTATTCAGAATTATTAAATAACAATGAGACTAAATCTTTAAAAAAAAGTAAAGATAATTACATTTATCATGAAATAATAAAAATAGCATTAAATGCTTACAAGGAACAGAAAACATTAATAACAGCGTAAGAGTTCCAGGGCTTTGACTCAGTGACTCTGAGGAAACAGCACTATATTTTCAAGTCGCAATGGTGATTGGCTTGGAGGGGAACTTGCAGGTAGTGGCGTTCCCATGTATCTGCTGCCCTTGTCTGTCTGAAAGGAAGTGATTATGGGTTTGGAAAATGCTGTCTAAGGAGTACTTAATGAATAACTGCTCTGCATCTTGCAGATGGTACACACTGAGCATCAGTGGTGAAGGGAGTGGATATGTTTCCATGGATGGGCTGCTTTGTCCTGTTTTATCCTAGACTCCCCAACCAGCAAAACTATCCTCTGTGTTTAGTCTCTCTAGCCCTGATAGAATATTGTACGTTTCTGTCAGATCCTCTGTCGTCCTTCTAAGCTCTAGTGAATACAAGCCCAGTCAAACCAATTTACAAACTTAGTGAACCTTGACTGCACTCTGTGGCAAGTAAATCTTTTCTCATGTAAAGAAACAAGAATTGTATGTAATACTCAAGGTGTGGTCTCACCAAGGCTCTGTAAAACTGTAATAAGTCGTCTCTACTTCTGAACTTTAATCTTTTTGCAATGAGGGTCATATGGCATCTTAATTACTTGCTTTATCTGCCTGTCTACTGCCATTTACTGATGTACAAGGGCAACTGAATCCCTTTATACATGCACATTTCCTGGTATATCACAATTCAAACAATACTTTGTCGTTTTGTTTCTTCCACCAGTGTTTTCACATTTAGCCACTTTATACTGCATCTACCAAAATGCTTGTCTGCTCATTCAACTTTTCTAAATCATTTTGAATCCTCGTATTCTCACAACTCACAATTCCACCCGTTTTGTGTCATCAGCAAACTTGGAAATATTGCACTTGGTTCGCTTATTCAGGTTAATTTTGTGTATTCCCAATCTGTTTCCTGTCTATCAACCAATTCACAGCCTATACTGTTATCTCGTATCCCGTATGCTTTAATTTTGTCTACTAACTTTCTATGTAGAACCTTATCAAAAGTCTTCTGAAAATCCAATTGCACCATATCCATTAGTTTTCCATTTCTATTCTACTAGTTACATCCTCAAAGAACTCCAATAGATTTGTTAAATGTGATTTGCCTTTCATTAACCCATGTTAGCTTTTTCCAATCCCGATAATGCTTTCCAAATGCTCTGGTATCACAGAAATTGCTGGAAAAGCTTAGCAGGTCTAGCAGCATCAATGGAGAGAAATCAGTTCATGTTTTGGGTCTAGTGACCCTTCCTTTCTGAAGAAGGATCATTGGACCTCAAACGTTAACTCTGATTTCTCTCCACAGATGCTGCCAGACCTACTGAACTTTTCCAGCAATTTCTGTTTTTGTTTGATTTCCAGCATTTGCAGTTCTTTTGGTTCTTATTTTATCCTGGGTATCACATCTATTATAGTAGACTCTAGCATTTTCCTCATTACTGATGTTAGACTATCTAGTCTGTAGGATTTTTTCTCTCCCTCCTTATTTAAATAGTGGGGCTATATCTGCCACCGTCAGTCTGTATGAACTGCTCAAGAGTCCACTGAATGTTAGAAGACAACTGCCAATGCACACAATATATCCAGGACCAATTGCTTTAGTACTCTGAGGTGTGGATTAATGGGCCCTAGTGATTTGTCAGCCTTTATCCCCATTAATTCCCCTAGCACTGTTTTTGTACTAATGCTGATTTCCCTAACCCTGATCATCTCACTAAGCAATTGGTTCATTGACATTTCTGAAAGGTTATTTGTGGTCCATTTTGTGAAAACAGAACTAAACTACATGTTCGATTATTCTGTCATTTCTTTGTTCCCCGTAATAATTTCTGACTGTAAGGCATTTATGTTTGTCTTTACTCATCTTTTCTTTTTCACATATTTATCAAAGCTTTTATGATCAGTTTTTGTGTTCCCTGCACCTTTACTCTAATTCTCATTTTTTCCCACTCTTGTTAAAACTTCTTGTTCTCTTTTGCTGAATTCTAAAATGCTTCAAATCCTCGGATTGTTGGTTTTCTGGTAATTCTGTATGTATCCCCTTGGATTCATTACAATCCCTAATTTCTGTTGTAAGCCATGCTGCCTTCAGTGTCCAGCTTTTACAAGTATATAATAAACAAGGAAGGGCTCTTTTGACACGATGGTAGTGGTTTTCAATTCATTCATAGGATGTGGACATTGCTGCTAGGTCAGCATTAATTGCCTAAACTTATTGACAAAGGGCAGATAAGAGTCAACTGCATTGCTGTGGGTCTGGAGTCACACATAGGCCAGGACTGGGTAAGGACTGTAGTTTCCTTCCCTAAGTTAGTAATCCAGATGGCTTTTGCCACCAAGTAACAACAACTTCATGGTCATTATTGGACTCTTAATTCCAGATTGATTATTGGATTTATGTTCCACAGTCCACCATGGCAAGATTTGAACCCAGGTCATCAGAGCATTATCTAGGTCTCTGGATTAATAGTCCAGTGATAATGTCACCAGGCTATTGTCTCCCTGAGTGTCCATACCTCTGCACTATGAATCCAAGTCCCACCACCCCAGAGGTATATAATAGCATCTCTGGACACACTGATTTGAAAATATTTGTTGTAAACCAGGAAGAGCTTAATGTAAATGTTGATACCTTATATGCAGGGACGTGAGGAAATGATCATGGGGAATAAGGATTAACAGAAAAAGATGCAAGTTATATACCAGATATGAAGGATAACCTAGGGGCTAATGAGTTAGGTAAATATAATTGAGGTCAATGGAGTAAAGGTACTGAAGAAATTCAAGGCATTGGCATCTCGTGTCCTGCAACTGAGGATTCTAAAAGAGTTAGTGGATGAGCTGGTTCTAATTATCCAAAACTTCCTGGATTCTGGAATGGTCCCAGCCGACTGGAAGTTAGCAAATGTAACATCACAACACAAGAAAGGAGAAGGAGAGAAAACGGTTAGCCTTTCACCAGTCACCCTCTGTCTGCCTCACATAAATGAATGTGCACCAATTCTTAGCTTTTCCCCTCCTTTTCCACAGAGTAATCTCATTGAGGTGCAGGAGCTAACAGAATGGTCAAAGTTGATGGTCAAGATAAATGGGAGGTGAGCACAGTGAAAGTAATGGGGTTGGGGGGGAGGGGGAGGGAGGGGATTGGGTGGAGAGGCAGGGGTGTGCGATAGTGCTGTCAGTAGCACCTTCTTCCAGTGCAATGGAAATATTGTGGTGATGTTCCAAGCTGAATTGCTAGCATGCACATCCAGGACACACTCCTGATTTCAATTCCACTGAAGAGGATCTGAAGACAAAGTTGATAAAGTCCCATGCTATTCCATGTGGTAACCTGTCTTCCTTTATTGCTTTGGCATGCTGGTACACTGCCTCGCTTTACTTCTCGATGTGAATGTACCTGCTATGGATACAATTTTTGGATAGTGCAGTAAAGCACTGATGAAACATAAAGCAAATTTCAGACTCGAGTGAATGAACCAAACACTTTGCCTTCCAGCAACTGTTGAAGTCTCTTTAAAAGTTACACACCAATTTTCATATGGCAATTAACCCTACCTGTTTTGTAAGAAATTTATATCAATGACATTCTACTGAGCTCACACAAGAGATTCTTATGTAACTATCTCTCCACCAACTACAGATTGTTTTTCATTGAAGTCATAGCAATGATGAAGAAATTCACTGCTGTTGGGGTCGGTAGGCCAGATTGTCGGAGTAATGATCATTTCAGTCAGATTGTTACCTCATTGGATGAATATGAAGGGTACCTAAAGCAATGGAATTGTTCCATTTTTGCAAAACTCACTGATTTTGGCTGATGCTAATACTAATATGTCTTGACCATAGATCATAATTCAAGATCACCTATGGACATATTGAACCTTGACTGCAGCATGGATTTTCTTTAAAGGAGGTACAGCCAAACGGGGAGTGTGGATGTATAGTCAGTATCTGTCTGGTGAGGAACCATGGAATGCTGCACTAGAAGGTATCAAGGAAGTTTTAAATGGAGAAATGCGGTACCAATTGAACTGTAATCTCTTGTGCATATTAGCTTGTGTTCAAGCACTAGTCACAGTCAAAGAACCACCTACTAGTCTCCAAATAAAAGGTTCTTCCACGCTGAATGCTGGAAACCAGCCAGCAAGCCCATAAAAAGGAAATGAGACAAAAGAAAAACTTCTCTTGTTGAATGTTGGAATCTAGTCAACAGGAAACAGGATAAAAATATTCAGCTAACCTGCAAAGCCAAACATCTCAAAATTGATTGCTCAACCGCCAACCTTTCATAATCTGCCCTTCCTGAATAATCCAAAGATTGGTCTATTAAATTTTGCCTATTTTTATACTCACTTCCCATTTTCAACATGTGTTTACGTGTTGTGGCATTATTTATGGAACTAATATACATTACTCTTTTTTGAACTTAAAGTTTGGTTACTTTGGGTCCTTTAAAACATAAAATCATTTATATCCAGGAGAAAAATATCCACAAGGGAACGGGTCCTTTGTAAATCAACCTTGTTGTGACCAACTGAGGGTTGTGTAAATGACCAAGATGAGCAAGTTTTCGCCATCTCACCCTGAAGCTTAACTAGTTTGGGGTATCCAATCTGGTTCTGTTTTAATTAGCCTTGTTGTAACCAATTGAAGGTTGGTGAGTAAAGGAGGGGAGTCAGGTCCTCACACAGAAGCTTAACAGTTTTGGGTAGCTCATCTGGGACTGTAGCAAATTTGGAAACCTTACCTGGGACAGAACCTAACACTTGTTACAATGACATCATAAATTAACTCATGTTCATTTACACATCCTGCTAATCCACTACTGACTCTAAACCAGTTTGAACTCCTCAGGTTGTTGCTTCCTCCAATATCACTAGTGTCACCATTTACACCACGTCACTCCCACCAAATTCATTGGCATTTTTGTGGTACAAGAAAACCACCAGTTATGTTGAGTAAGTGGGGTTGGTTCAGTGGTTTCTGATCATTGACCTACTTATTTTCTATAATTGCATTTTAAAATTTACTGAATGTCTCAACTTACCTTATGCCTCACTTTTAAAATATTTTAACAAAGAAATTTGACCATTTATTGGTTGCTAAAGGGCTGCTGAGGAATATGACTTTTGATACAATTCACACCATATAGTTTCCTGATGTACAACTCAGTCAAATGTTCAGCTTCTTAATTATATTTGTAAAGGTCTAATGCCTGGCAAATGGCCTGAGCCAATACTCATATGTTTTAGATGTTTTAGGAGTGCGGGACACTGGTCCTTGAAATTGGTACTATTGTGCTATTTTGTAATCATAAAATGAATGCTGCGCAGTCCTATTTCAACACTAAAGCATTAATAAAGAACCAGTTAAAGAGAATATTATCACAATTCAGACATTTTCTGATTTCTATCCAACCTGTTTGCTAAAATATGACTTTGATGGTTGTTAACTACTTTTTGTTGAGCTCAGAATATTGTTTTAGCTGCACTCCAATCCATGCATGCACTGGGCTCTCAGATGAGGATATCATTAATGATGTTATTCATGTATATCAATTACTAGATTAGATAGTTATACGCCATTGCACAAGTTGTCTGTTTCCATGAAATCTCAACACTATGAACCATAAGATCATAAGAAATAGCAGCAAAAATAGACCATTCAGCCCAATGGATCAATTGTGTCATGGAATTCATTCATTCACCACAATGGTGCATCTTTGAGCGCAGTTGATTGACCAGAGTCAGAATTTTATACTTTTTGTTGTCCTCACCATCTTCCTCAAAGTTGTCATACAAGTAGTGAAATAACTGCACAGAAGCCAGTATCCCATCACCAGGCCACCCTTCATTGACATGTGCACAGTACACAAGCTGTGTCCAGCCAACTCGCCTGAACTGAAGAGATTCTCATCTCCTGGTTTTATTAGACAGCCAGGGCTTTCCTGATTGGCCCAAGTTAACAACCCCAATCAATGACCTCATAGTCAACAAAGTCAACCTGGTTCCAATCACTACATCCCTTCCCCCGCCCAAGTCCAGGGATGTAGGCCTGGTCATTGGCTTGCAGCTTTACCTGCAATGTTTTCACCCCAAGTCCAGTTCCTTTGATTCAGACTCTGACACGGACGCCTCTTGCATCCAGAATGTCTCAGGAGAGTTTCCTCCTGGCGGTTACGGTATTGAGGCTGCATGCATCTCAGACTCTGAGGTTTGTTTGAAGCTTGACAGAGAGGGAGAATCTACAGTTTGACAGGCCTTCTGGCTGTTCTAAGGTGCCAGGTAGGTTTTGCTCCTGCCCCGTATGCGAGGTAACAGATTTCAGGTAGTCCACATGTCTGTTCAGGACTGCATCACCTACTCAAACATTGTAAGTGAAGGGACCTGACCTGGTGTCAACCTCACCTTGTAGCAGTACAGGGCCATTTCCATTGGTTCTGGCACCAAACTTCATCCCCGGAATTAAATAGTGTCTGTTGCTTTGAGGCGGCATGTGGCTGGCATTGGTATTCCTACTGCCAGGGAATATCATTTTTAACCTAGTGAGGAGTCTTCTCCTCATCAGCTACTCTTGCTGGAACTATCCCTGTTGCTTGTGAGGTGGTCCTATAATTGAACAGGAACTAGGACAGTTTGGTATCAATTAACACTTAGGCTGCTTCGTAAAGCCTGCCTTCAACGTTTGGCCTGCTCTTTCCGCTAGATCCTTAGACGATGGATGGTATGGAGCTGTCCTTATACGCCGAATTCCATTTGTCTTTAGAAAATATTTGAATTCCCTGCTGTTAAATGACATCCCATTGTCTGTGACCAATAGTTCTGGGAGTCTATGCATCACGAATGATGCTCGCAGTTTCTCAATCATCATCCCACACTCGTCGCCACTGAACTAACTGCACTGAGGCCAGTATCCCATCACCAAGTCACCCCTTATTTACTTGTGCACTATGCACAGGTTGTGGCCAGCCAGCTCGGAGTCAGTTGCCTGAACTGAGGAGATTCTCATCTCCTGGATACGTTAGTCAGCCAGGGATTTCCTGATTGGCCCGAGTTAACAAACCCAATCACTGACCTCGTAGCCAACCTGGCTCCAATCACTCCAAGTAGCCATTGGAGGATGGCTACCACAATGAGGGAAAATTCTGTAGATTTATATTGTCATTAGCATTGGAGGGATGGGAATGGTTTCAAATGGGGAAAAAAAAATTGTTTTATTTTTATTCTTATCAAGCATTATAGGACATTTAATTGATTGTCCTGTGACTTATTTAGTAAACTTTGAGATCACTGAAAATTTAAGCTGCCCTTAGATGCTCAAAACAAATGCTCCCTGTATGTTACATTACTATAGGGTAAATCATGTAAAGTATATTGGTTGATGAAATTAATTTATCTACATAGTGTAGAAACATGCCAGCCAAATGTGTGTTAGGGCTAGGACTCCGGCCATTCTGCTAAAACCTTCCACAATTATGAAGAAATAGGAAGCAGACTTAGGTGAGCAACAGCTGGAAATTTTCTCCATCTCTATGTACCTGACAGGACAGGAAATTTGAACCTATTTAATTCACCAATTAATTACTTAAGTGCATTAATTGATTTAAAGTCACCTCTTTGACCTATCTTCAGGTCATAGCTGCTAATCCTGGCCTCATTGGCTTGATGTCAATTTGTGAATGATGTCAGGACATTAGGAATATTAGGTAAATGCAAGTTGTTGTTTTCAAAGTGCAAGATAACAGGACATTATTGAAATTCATAGTCCTTTTCCACAGCCATAATAATGTACTTTGAAAGTGCATTACCATGAACACTTCAAGAGTCCTGCTTTGCACAATTACTTGGACAATGGTAGTAGAGAAAGGACTCTGTCAATTGAAATGAGTAACCAATGAAAGCTTGTCACATTTATTCCCACATTCAGGATGCTTCCAGCTGTAGAATTGGCCATCAGAATCAGAACAAAGACACAATCTTAGTGCAGCATGTTAATGAGAAGCTGTGCTCAAAGCCAACTGTGTACAGGAAATGCTAATGCTGAGACAGACAAATATATTGTCAATGACCAAGTCACATAGTTTAGCGTCTGTTCCGATATACAATTTGATCCAGTTCTCAGCTAGAGTTCTTGAGACAAAAGAGTTTCATTTTAAAGCTAGTCACATTCATATTTCGCTGTTCCTCGAATAAAGGAAGATATATAAGCAATGTCATAGGACAATATGGAGATTAATTAGTTAATTACTTCTTATTGGTTCTTTGCAAAAGTAGCCTAAAAACATCGCCCCACTTTCTTTCCAAAGACTCGTTTCTTTCTCTGCCTTAAATATTTCCCAATTTTTTTTTGTTATAGCTTTCCATCTGAAAAGTTCCTATGGCAAATCATTCCATGTTCCACCAACCATTTGTGTAAAGAAATATTTTTATCCTCGTGTGTCATGTCTCGAAGGTATACTGTGCTGACACACCAGGTTTTGTGTGCAGAGTTTTATTTACGGTGTTTTTAAAATGATTGCCTTCATGCATTCTGAGAACAGTCAAACACTGAACAATTGAACAACTAAATACGAAAAGCTCGCCTCAGTAATGATTTTAAATTGATGGTCACTCAATAATGAAAGTTGAATGGCTAGAGGCACTGGATACTGCAAAGTCTATGGGCCCTGACAGTATTCGGGCAAAGTAATGAAAACTTGTGCTCCAGAACTAACTTAGACACGCAGTTCTAATACAGCTAAATACCCATATCTACCTGATAAAGTGGAAAATTTCCCTGGTGTGCTCTGTCCAAAGGAGGAAATATCCAACCTGGCCAATTACAGCCCTATCAATCTATTCTCAATCATCAGCAAAGTGATGGAAAGTTTCATCGACAGTGCTATCAAGTAGCATTGAGCTCAACAATAACCAACTCACTGGCACTCAGTTTGGGTTCTGATAGGCTAATTCAGCTCTTGTTTCTGTCAAAACGTGGACAAAATTTCTG